TTTCCGCCTTCCTCCTCCTTCCCTCCTCCTCTTCTCATCATCATCATCATCATCATCATCATCATCATCATCATCATCATCATCATCATCATCATCATCATCATCATCATCATCATCATCATCATCATCAGCATCATCATCATCATCATCATCAGCAGCAGCAGCAGCAGCATCAGCATCAGCATCGTCATCATCGTCGTCATCGTCATCATCAACATCAGCATCATCAACATCATCACGCCCAATGGAACGGTTGGCATGTGTCTCCCCCCCCAGTACAGCGTTTCGTGGCCCCACGGGGAGCGCCGCCGAAGGTCCCCGTGGCGCAGTCCGCACGCGTCTCCCCCACCCAGTACAGCTCTTCGCGGCCCCATAGGGGCTCCGCCGAAGGTCCCAGTGGCACAGTCCGCATGCGTCCCCGCCATTCATGTCGGCCCACCCCTCACACGTTGCGTGGCCCCATAGGAGCTCCGCCGAAGGTCCCAGTGGCACAGTTCGCATGCGTCCCCGCCACTCATTTCGGCCCCCGCTCTCACACGCTTCGTGGCCCCACAGGAGCTCCGCCGACCCTTTGGCACAGTCCGCATGCGTCCCCGCCACTCATGTCGGCCCACCCCTCTCACGTTTCGTGGCCCCACAGGAGCTCCGCCGACGGTCCCAGTGGCAGAGTCCGCATGCGTCCCCGCCACTCATTTCGGCCCGCCCCTCACGCTTCGTGGCCCCATAGGGGTTCCGCCGAAGGTCCCAGTGGCACAGTCCGCATGCGTCCCCGCCATCCATTTCGGCCCACCCCTCACACGTTTCATGGCCCCACAGGAGCTCCGCCGAAGGTCCCAGTGGCACAGTCCGCATGCGTCCCCGCCACTCATTTCGGCCCACCCCTTACACGTTTCGTGGCCCCACGGGAGCTCCGCCGAAGGTCCCAGTGGCACAGTCCGCATGCGTCCCCGCCACTCATTTCGCCCCACCACTCACGCGTTTCGTGGCCGCACAGGAGCTCCGCCGACGGTCCCAGTGGCACAGTCCGCATGCGGCCCCGCCATTCATTCCGGCACACCCCTCACACGTTTCGTGGCCCCATAGGACCTTTGCCGACGGTCCCCGTGGCACAGTCCGCATGCGTCCCCGCCACTCATGTCGGCCCACCCCTCACAGGTTTCATGGCCCCACAGGAGCTCCGCCGAAGGTCCCAGTTGCACAGTCCGCATGCGTCCCCGCCACTCATGCCAGCACACCCCTCACACGCTTCTTGGCCCCATAGGGAACTCTACCGAAGGTGCCGTGGCGCAGTCCGCATGCGTCTCCCTCACCTAGTACAGCGTTTCGTGGCCCCATATGGAACCCCACCGAAGGTCCCAGTGGCGCAGTCCGCATGCGTCTTCCTCACCCAGTGCAGCGTTTCGTGGCCCCATAAGGAGCTCCACCGAAGGTCCCCGTGGCGCAGTCCGCATGCGGTCCCCCCACCCAGTACAGCGTGTCGTGGCTGGGACCCCTCCGGGGCGACCTGCGCGCGTCGCGGGGACTCCGCGCTGCGCTGCGCCCGCAGCCTTGGACTTTTGAGTGCGCGGGCAAAGAGGGAGTAAAAGAAGGGGAGGAAGCGGGCGCGATCCTCGCGGGGGGGCGCGCCGACATTGGCGTCGCGGCGCGCGGGCGATGCCGTCGGGGAGTTCGGGGGAAGCTCCTTGCGGCGGCCACGCCCAGCGTCACGAGTACTCAGAGGCAGTCGTTCTCAAAGTATTGACATTCATATACATTTTCACAATGCTTTGGCATACTCGCATTCATGCACGTAGACTCGCTCGCACGCAGGTTCATTCATAGTCAGACGCACTCGCGCTCATATTCACCCGCGCTCAGTCTCCCTACGTACTCAGATAAATAATTTTCCTTCGCGTTGTGTACCACGCCACTCATTTCGGCACACCTCTAGCACGGTTCGTTGCCTCATAGGGATCACCACCGAAAAAGTGAATCACAATTGTGGTACTCACACCTGCATACGGTTGGGTCCTTCGTCAGGCTATTGTTTTGTCTTGCTAGTCTTGTCTTCTCTCACACTGAGAAGAGGTTCGGATTTGGGGCAGCGCGTTGAAGAAACACGTCACCGGATGTCTGGCAGTGGGCTCGTCGAGGCACCGTAGCGGTGCTCACTTCCAGACGTGCCATGCCTTCAGTTTTGCAGCACGCGGCCCCCCCAAAACCCCGACCCCTTCCCCAGGACCGGCTTTTTGACCCGAGTCGTTTCTTGACGATCCCGGGGCCCAGTGAGGGCGCCCAGAGGCCGAAAACTACGAGCAAGCTCTCGTCCGGATTTTTTCCCAACCATCCTGTGGTGTTGTGTCCCCGTTTTGAAGAGACAGCACCCCGCGTTTCTTCCTCCTTCCTCCTCCCCCCTCCCCTCCTTTCATCATCATCGTCATCATCATCATCATTGTCATCATCATCATCATCATCGTCATTATCGTCGTCACCATCATTATTATCACCAACATCAACATCATCAACAACATCACACGTTTCGGTGCCCCATGGGGAGCTCCACCGAAGGTCCCAATGGCGCGGTTGGCATGAGTCTCCCCCCCCAGTACAGCGCTTCGTGGCCCCACGGGGAGCGCCACCGAAAGTCCCCGTGGCGCAGTCCGCATGCGTCCCCCCCACCCAGTACAGCGTTTCGTGGCCCAATGAGGGGCTCCGCCGAAGTCCCAGTGGCACAGTCCGCGCGCGTCCCCGCCGCTCATTTCGGCACACCCATCACACGCTTCGTGGCCGCATAGGAGCTCCGCCGAATGGCCCAGTGGCACAGTCCGCATGCGCCCCCGCCACTCATGCCGGCCCACCCCTCACACGCTTCGTGGCCCCATAGGAGCTCCGCCGAAGGTCCCACTGGTACAGTCCGCATGCGTCCCCGCCATTCATTTCGGCCCACCCCTCACACGCTTCGTAGCCCCATAGGAGCTCCGCCGAAGGTCCCAGCGGCTCAGTCCGCATGCGTCTCCGCCACTCATTTCGGCCCACCCCTCACACGTTTCGTTGCCCCATGTCCCAGTGGCACAGTCCGCATGCGTCCCCGCCACTCATTTCGGCCCACCCCTCACACGTTTCTTTGCCCCATAGGAGCTCCGCCGAAGGTCCCCGTGGCACAATCCGCACGCGTCTCCGCCACTCATTTCGGCCCACCCCTCGAACGCTTCGTGGCCCCATAGGAGCTCCGCCGAAGGTCCCCGTGGCACAGTCCGCATGCGTGCCTGCCACTCATGTCGGCCCACCCCTCACACGCTTCGTGGCCCCATATGGGGCTCCACCGAAGGTCCCCGTGGTGCAGTCCGCATGCGTCTCCCTCACCCAGTACAACGTTTCGTGGCCCCATACGGACCTCAAGCGCCACGACGAGAGCCTCACGGGTGACCTCGCGGGCCCGCTGGTGTTCATCGAGCTTCGCACGTCGGAGCCGTTCACCTTCCGCACCTCCAAGGTCACCCGAACGGGCTTCTCGTTCTCGCGCGGCAGGGTCATCACCACGGTGGCGTGCCAGGGGCGCACCATGCGCGAAGGTTGAAGGCCACGGGGCGAGTGAACAGCGCCCTGGGGCAGTTTTCGGCCGGACCTGCTGGGCGCGAGCAGTCCGCAGCCAGACCTTCTCTCGGTCCCGTGGACTCTCGCCCTGGGCCGTCGCCTTTCCAGCGCGCTGCTCCCTCGGCCGACGTCGCCCAGGCGTGATCCTGGACTGCGGCCATCACTAAGTGGGGAACGGCAAGAAGGAGGACGATGACTGGTGGCTGGAGCTCTACGCGCTGCTCTCGCGCGCCACGCGCCACGAGGACCTCCTGCTCATGCGGGCGCCGCGCGTCGAGTTCTTCCTGGCAGGGCCGCCGGAGGGCTTGCGGAAGCAGCTGGAGCAGTTTGCTGCGCGCACGAAGCGGCGCAGGAGGGAGGCGACGGCCCTCGCCGGGGAGCTGGGCTTCACCGAGTTTATCCGCGAGGCTTGATCTGAGGGGCGGCCCCCCCGAGCCTCGCCGTCCCTCGACGGTCTGACAAATTGTTTGGCCTCGCGCCGCGGACGTCCCGCGCGCGTCGCTGGGGCCCTCTCGGGGCGACCGGCGCGCGTCGCAGGAACTCCGCGCTGCGTTCTGCCCAGCGCCTCGCTCGCCCGTCGTCGCTCTGCCCAGCGGCGAGAGCCTTGCCCGCTATCAGCCAGCCAGCTAGCTCTCGTTGCTCCGCGCAGCGGGCGACCCGCGCGCGTCGCTGGGGCCCCTCCGGGGCGACCGGCGCGCGTCGCGGGGACTTCGTGCTACGTTCTGCCCAGCGCCTCGCTCGCCCGTCGTCGCTCTGCCCAGCGGCAAGAGCCTTGCCCGCTATCAGCCAGCCAGCTAGCTCTCTATGCTCCGCGCGGCGGACTACCCGCGCGCGTCGCTGGGACCCCTCCTGGGCGTCCTGCGCGCGTCGCGGGGACTCCGCGCTGCGCTGCGCCCTCAGCCTTGGACTTTTGAGTGCGCGGGCAAAGAGGGAGTGAAAGAAGGGGGGGAAGCGGGCGCGATCCTCGCGGGGGGGCGCGCCGACATGGGCGTCGCGGCGCGCGGGTGATGCCGTCAGGGAGTCCCGGGGGAGTTCCTTGCGGCGGCCACGCCCAGCGTCGCGAGTATTCAGAGGCAGTCATTCTCAAACTATTGACATTCATATATAATTACACAGTGCCTTGTCATAGTCGCATACATGCGCGTAGACTCGTTCGCACGCAGATTCATTCACAGTCAGACGCACTCGCGCTCAGATTCACCCGCGCTCAGTCTCCCTACGTATTCAAATGAATCGTTTTCGTTCGCGTTGTGTACCGCGCCACTCATTTCGGCACACCCCCAATACGGTTCGTTGCCTCATAGGGATCACCACCGAAAAAGTGAATCACAAATGCGGTACTCACACCTGCATGCGCCTGGGTCTTTCGTCAGTCTATTTTTTTGACCGCGCGAGCATGTCTGCACTTTCTCCTCGCCCCCCAGCAGGCGGCTGACGCCCGGATCCGCAGGAGGAACCCGCACAACAAGCGGAACGAGGAGCTCATCGGGTTCGTGCGCCCCGTCTCGTCGAAGCAGGCCAGCCGCTGAGCCGGAGGGCGGTCTCGCGAGGGAACGCCCCGAGACCCGGGCGTCGCGTTCTTTCTCTGCGCCGGGTTCCCACGCTCCCTCGAGTCATGAGACCATCTCGTAGCAGAGTTCTTCGCTCGTGTCAAGTCGGGCCTGTCCCTCTACAGGGGGAAAACCAACGAATATTCGACATTTAATCAGGGGGCGTTTTTGTTCCCCGTATCCTAAGATGGGGTGCCTGTTATTACTTGGACGCCTCCTACTCCTTCTTTTCCCTCTTTTCCTCCCCTCGCCTCCTCATGCCCAGACTTACTCATACACAGACTGACTCACATTCAGATTTACTCAGACACAGACTTCCTCACACACATAATTATTCACACCCAGACCTATCCATATTCAGATTTACTCCCACTCATAGTTACTCATGCTGAGACTCACGCGCGCCCCGTTCGCGGCCGTTTTGTGGGGATGCCTCAAGCAGTTTGCCTGTTTTCTTTCCCAACATCGTTCGCTTTCGGAGCAGATTTGGGGGATCCCTCGAGGGGGGCGTTCATTTTTACGTTCCTAAAGGGGAGCCGCCAGGGGGTATCTCACGGTCCTGTTCGCGGCCGTTTTGTGGGGATGTCTCACGCGGTTTGCTTGTTTTCTGTCCCAACATCCTTCGATTTCGAGGCAGATTTGGAGGATGTCTCGAGCGAGGCGCTCATTTTGACGTTCCTAAGGGGAGCCGCCGATGGGGATATCTCACGGTCCCGTTCGCGGTCGTTTTGTGGGGATGTCTCAAGCGGTTTGCCTGTTTTCTTTCCCAACATCGTTTGCTTTCGGAGCAGATTTGGGGGATGTCTCGAGCAAGGCGCTCATTTTCACGTCCCTAACGGGAGCCGCCGAGGGGTTATCTCACGGTCCCGTTCGCGGCCGTTTTGCGGGGATGTCTCAAGCGGTTTGCCTGTTTTCTGTCCCAACATCTTTCGCTTTCGGAGCAGATTTGGAGGATGTCTCGAGCGAGGCGCTCATTTTAACCTTCCGAAGGGGAGCCGCCAGGGGTTATCTCACGGTCTCGTTCGCGGCCGTTTTGTGGGGATGTCTGAAGCGGTTTGCTTGTTTTCTGTCTCAACATCCTTCGTTTTCGGAGCAGATTTTGAGGATGTCTCGAGCGAGACGCTCATTTCCCCCCCCCAGGTGGGCTAGATTTTGAGGATGTGTCGATCGGTGGCCAGACTCGTGGGCGCAGATTCTCTTCAGGATGCCACAGGAGGCTCCAATAGGCTCCAGGAGGCCCCAGGAGACCACATGAGGTCCCAGGAGGCATCAGGAGGCCACAGAAAGACTCAACAGGCCACAGGATGTCCCAAGAGGCTCTAGGATTCCCAAGGAAGCTCCGGGAGGCCTCAGGAAACCACAGAAGCCCCCAGGAGGCCAGAGGAAGCGCCAGGAGCAACAGGAGGCCCCGAGAGGCCCCAGGAGCAGGAGGCCTCAGAAGGCAACAGGTGTGGCTCCAATCCCATGTGTTTTACGTATGCTCCTATAGATTGGGCCTCACCTGGAGGACGAATCCTTGATGTTATACGTATGTTTCTATATATTGACCTTCTCCTCTGTATTTTTGTTCCTATAGGGCCTCTCCTGGGGCACGAGTCCTCGGTGTTTTACGTGTGTTTCTATATATTGCCCCCTTCTCCTGTGGCTCCAATCCGCAATGTTTAATGTACTTCTGTTGCTATAGATTGGGCCTCGCCTGGGGCACGAATCATCCCTAGGAGGTCCCAGGAGGCCCCAGGAGGCCCCAATAGGCTCCTGGAGGCCCCAGGAAACCCCAGTAGGTTTCAGGAGGCCCCAGGAGGCCCCAGGAGGACCCAGGCTTATGCGCAGAGACGCTCTCGTACTACTGAGGCTCATTCACACTCCAATTCAGTCTCAGTTAGATTCATGACCAGACCGTCACAACTGAAGCCCGTTTATATTCGAACTCTTCTGCGCGTAAGCGTTCACGGCGGACAGGTCCATGCGAATAGACGCACATATGGGGAGCTCCACGCAGTGAATAATAATTCCCCATATCCTAAGATGGGGTTATTGTTGTTACTTGGACGCCTCCTACTCCTTCTTCTCCCTCTTCTCCTCCCCTCTCTCCTCCTCATACCCAGAGCTCAAGAAATTTAGGCTCAGACCATTTTGGCGGGAACCCGACTGCTGTGCACGAGGTGCTTGGGGCAGTTCGTCCAGGTCGCGCAGCAGCAGCGACCTTGGCGACGACCAAAACAGAAGTCCGACCATGTCTCAGTTTGCTATACGTCTTTACTCATGTTGCGGCAAATTCGGTCGGTGCGAGTGGAACGACCGTCTTCTGGCCAACAACAAAGTGCGCGTCGGGTGCCACAAGCAGGTGAAGTTGTACAAGTCCCGCCACAACACCGACGATGGCAAGCCCCAGGAGATTCCTCAGGGTGGCCGCCGCGGTGGAGGTAGCGGGAAGGGGAGCGACCCCAACACGACGTCTACCAAGGACGTTGCTTCCCTCCTGGCCCCGGCGCTCAGGGAGACCGACGACACGAAGCTTAAGTCCGCTTTGCAGGCGCAGGTGACGAAGCTGCCGCCTCCAGCGCCTGTTCAGGAGGGAGCGGCTTCTATAGCATATTCAATGGAACGAGCACTTGGAGTGTGGAAGGGATGCGGGTCATAAACATCCGCAGGCGATCGCCAACGTCGTACGGCTGGAGTCGGTGCTGGCGACGGCAAAGGACCGAGCTAGGGCAGCGGCGCTGGTCCTGGCGCAGGCCGAGAAAGGGCAATAAGGAGGCGACTGCAACCCTGGCCGCAGCTGAGGGCATCAGTGGTGCAGGAGGGTCAGCGCAGCACGACGGCGACCAGCAGGACGCGATGTTCTCGCCGAAGTGGGACGACTCTCTTTTCGAAGGCGCCTGGAAGAACTGGAGTGCGAGGAGAGTGAAAGGAACGATTTGAAGAAGCTGCAGGTGGACCTCAAGGGCCTGCATGGCCTTTTCGGCGAGAAGGAGCAGTTCGTGAAGGGGTGGCTCTCCAAGGCCGAGGAGGTGCGCAGGCCGTCAACGAGCGGCTGCCGAAGAAGCGCAAGGTCGAGGGCGGCCAGGCGGCAGCTGGAGGTGAAGGTGCTGAACCAGGTGCTGGCAGCGGCCCCTCTGCGACCGCGAACGGGTCAGCCGAGGCCCCTCAGGGGGCAGCGCGTGCCCCTGACGCCGCCGCCGAGGGCGAGAAGCTCCTCCAGGCCGCGGAGCGTGTGTCTGATGCCAAGCTCGAGGCGCAGCGGCAGCAGGTCGCAGCGGAAAAGTTGAACGCCATGGGGGGCAAGGGCGCCCGCGCGCCCCCGCTTGGCAAAGGCACGCCTCCTGTTGGTGCAGCTGGGCGGTGACTAGGTTCCGAGGCGGTCGCGGGCGCCAGCGCCAGCGGCTCGGTCGTGGACGGCGCGATGGGCGGCGCCGGTGTGCCCAGCGGGGGCGAGAGTAGCGCCGAGCAGTTCTCGATTTGTTCTATGCCAATATCGCGTGTATAGGAGATAAAGTTTGGCGGTTCTTTCGGCAGAACCATTTTGACTACCTTGGTATGGCCGAGACTCATGTTGGGGAGTCCGAATTGGCGAAGTGGGACAAGAAATCTCGACCTTCAGGATTTGTACTAGTTTCAATGCTGCACGCTGTTGGTTCAGACGTGTGGCTAAGTCGCAGGAGTTGAGGTCCAACGAGGGCGGAGAATGGGTTCTCGCTCGAGGTCACCTTCAGCTTCGACCTTTCGTAGCGCTGCCGCTGCCGTCCCTTTGGCAGCACCTGGTCATCGGCAGCATGGCGGTTTTGTGGCCACCATCCTTCGCATGAAAGGATACAGTATTGTGTGCATAGTGTTCTACGCTTGCCCCTTCCATCGGCTTCAACGGCCCGACCCTCGGGCGTTTCCAGAGGCTGGGCGCTCTTCTGAGTAGCTAGGTCCTACCGTGGTTCGTCATCGGTGTTTCCACGTCTCGGTCAATGCCACGCCGAAGGCCAAGTTCCTCCAGCGCATCCGAGGCTGTGTTTCTGTGCTCACGGCGGACATCGAGGCTACCTGCAACGCTGGGTCGAACCAAGGGACGCACATCGACTACTTGTTGTGTTCTGACGCGGCTCGGCCATATGTGCATGCGATTAGCCCTGTCGTCAACGTTCCGTGGAAGCCGCGCATAGGATGAACCGTTCAGCTTAGAAGCGGAGGAGACCAGCTCCTGGCTAGATACTTAGATATTGTCGTTCGAGACAAGCATCAGACAAAGCAGCGAAGCCAGGCAAGCCCAATTCGACGAGTTTTTTCGGGGATCTCATGAATCCTCCAGAGCTCGAGCCAGATGTTTGGTCGGATTCAGAATCTGAGCATGGTGGTAGGCCTGCCTCTGATAGGGGTTTTGCCGGTGATGAGCCTGGCGATTTTGGTTTCGATTTCAGTTCCGAGTCTGAGGGTGACCCTTGGGCTCACGAATCAGAGTTTATCAATAAAGCGAATTGTGTACAGGGTGCGTCGTCTGTAGAGGCTCCTGGGGTTCCTTGTGGTGTCTCGCCGTTGGTGCAAGAAAAAACAGTCCGTGTGATAATGAGGTTTCACAGGTGTCAAGCTCCCGTGCATCCGATGAGCTGCCCAAGCCACCCCAGCCTTTAAGGTGAAGCGACCCCGCCCCTGCTCCTTCCCCCGCTCTGTCCTCGTCCTCCGCCCCCCCCCCGCCCTCCTCCTTCCCCCCCTCCTCCTCCTCCCGCGAAGTCTGATCTGTCTGGACTTGAGCCTCCCTCGTCGGAATTTTCTGAAGGGGTCTCGTTTCAAGTTCTCGAAGATCTGTGGAATAAATGCCGTCAGCAGGCGTCCTTCACCCCGAGTCAGAGGTGCCCTCCCTCGTCCTCATTCCTCCGTTCCGTAGCCTTTGAGCTCGATGGCGCACCTGCTGCACTTGCGATATCTTCCATATGCGCTTCTTGGGTTCAGACAGTCGAGGCGGTCTTGCACTCGCCATGGAG